TGGGGGACAAATTGACTTCCTCTTTTCCAATTTGGATGCCTTTTATTTCTTTCTTTTGCCTGCTTGCTCCGGCTAGGACTTCCAGGACTATGTTGAATAAAAGTGGTGAAAGTGGGCAACCTTGTCTTGTTCCAGTTCTTAGAGGAAAGCCCAATAGTTTTTTTTTTTCCCTCCATTTGGTATGATATTATCTGTGGATTTGTCATATATGATCTTTATTATGTTGAGGTATATTCCTTCTATGCCTAATTTGTTGAGTTTTTATCATGAAGACATACTCTATTTTATCAAAAGCTTTTTCTCCATCTATTGAGAAAATCATGTTTTTGTTCTCCATTTTGTTGATATGATGTATCACACTTACTGATTTGCATATGTTGAACTCCTTTCATTCCTGTGATAAGTCCCTCTTGATCATGGTATATTATCTTTGTGATACGTTGTTGGATTCAGTTTGGGGGTATTTTGTTGAGGATTCTTGTGTCTCTGTTCATCACTGACATTGGCTTGTAGTTTTTTTTATCTTTATTGTGTCCTGGTTTGGATTTGGTATTAGGGTAATGCTGGCCTCATAGAATGCATTAGGAAGAATTTTTTGCTCTTCAATTTTTTGGAATACTTTGCGAATAATTGGTGTTAGTTTTTTATAACTTTGGTAGAATTCAGCAGTAAAACCACCTTGTCCTGGGACTTTCCTAAAGTATCTTTTTCCTTGTGTAGGGAACATTACATATATTTTTTCTCCTGTATCTCACTGAGTTTCTTTAATATTATTATTCTGATTTCTTTTCAGGCATTTTATAAATTTTTTTTTTTTTTTTTTTGAGACGGAGTTTCGCTCTTGTTACCCAGGCTGGAGTGCAATGGCGCGATCTCGGCTCACCGCAACCTCCGCCTCCTGGTTTCAGGCAATTCTCCCGCCTCAGCCTCCTGAGCAGCTGGGATTACAGGCATGCACCACCGTGCCCAGCTAATTTTTTGTATTTTTAGTAGAGACAGGGTTTCACCACGTTGACCAGGATGGTCTTGATCTCTTGACCTCGTGATCCACCCACCTTGGCCTCCCAAAGCGCTGGGATTACAGGCTTGAGCCACCACGCCCGGCCCAATAAATTTTTCTTTTGTGATCTGTTACTGGAAAATGATCACGTTTCTTTGAAGGTGTCATGTTTCTTCACTTTTTATTTTCTTGTATCCTTACATTGATATTTGTGCATCACTTCTTCCAATTTTATCAATTGACTTTCATAGGAAAATACTTTTTCTCCATAGATGTATCTATAGTGTTGGTTGGGTAGGGAGCTTTGGCTTTTATTCTGAGTAAGTGCAGTGATGTAGTCTCTGTATAATTTTTTTTGGCTAACACCAGCATCAGTGGCCTGTGAATTCTTCGGTGGCTTAGGCTGTAATTGCTAGTGGAGGCTGTGGAAAGGCCTTGCTGGAGTGGGGGATGCAAGGCAGGTCAGTCTTCAAGGACCAGTGGTGGTAGCAGCATGCCTGGTATGCTTGCTCTCGTGTCTGCAGGTGGTGTGCTCAGGTTCTTGTGGTGGCAATGATGGGCTAAGTGGGTGGGTCCTTGAACCTGTAGGCAGCATGTATGGCATTGATGATGGCAGTAGTAGTGGCAGGCTAACCCTTGGGCCTTTGAATGGCTAGTGTAGGCACCAGCAGTAGCAGTGGCATGCTTAGTGGGCTGCCACCAGGCCTCTGATGGCATGCATGGGTGGGTACTGGTGGCAACAGGCTGCATGAGACAGACCCTGAACCTCTGGCAGGCATGTCAGGGCACCAAAGAGGAGTGTGTCGAACCTGTCCTTATGCCCCTGGACAGCACCTGCATGTACCAGTAATGGCAGTCCTATTGCCCTTTTATTGTCATATCCACTTCCTTCCCCCCTTTCTCACCTATCCCTCTAATCCCTGGAAACCAGTAATCATTCTCCAATATTACAGTTTTAAATTTCAAGAATGTGATATGTCTAGTATTGGCAGCTGTGGCTTCAGTGCCAAGGGACTGTGGGCTCAGTGTTAAGGCATCTTTTGGAACAGGGATGTGACTCAGTGAGTGAGGGAGATACATATCAGGGATGAGGCTTCCTGGTCCTAGCAACGGTGATACTTGTATCTCTGTGGACTTACGTAGAGAAATCATTGTCTTTTCAATTACAGTACAGTTTTATAATAGAATTGAATAGAGATTAGAGACTAGAAGTCAAGAAGAAATACTATTAGCAGTGGTTATCTCTTAAAATATTACAAGAGGTAGAATGAAGAGTGCTTTTTTTTCTTCTTTTTATACCATCTGTATTTTTAAAATTTCTATAATACAACACATATTTATTTTATAGTCAGGAAAGGAAAACCATTTTATGTTTTGAGACAGGGTCTCGCTCAAACAGGAAAAACGTTTTTTATGGTTTTGACACATGCTGGAGTCCAGTGATGTGATCATAGCTCACTGCAGCCTCAACCTCTCAGACTTAAGTGATCCTTCCACTTTAGCCTACCAAGTAGCTGGGACTACAGGTATACACCACCACACCCAGATATACGCATATTTTTTTTTGTATTTTTAGTAGAGATGAGGTTTTACCGTGCTGCCCAGGTTGGTCTTGAATTCCTGACTTCAAGCAATCTGCCTTCCTGGGCCTCCCAAAGTGCTGGGATTTACAGATGTGAGCCCCCACAACCAGGAAAGTCAATTTTTTTTAAAGGCTGAAAATTGTTGTTAAGTGTTTTTGACATTTCACAAAACATTTCTGGTAACATTCTACAGATGATACCATCCAATGTTCCAATACTTTTCTCTCGCGAAGATGGCTCAGATAACTTTTGACTTTATAATACTTGCTATTTTAGAGAGATTTTTCAGAGAAAACTGATGACTTTCTAGTTAACAGATAAAATGTTCTTGATTTCTTCTCTCTTTTTAGTGTAAAAAAAATAAAATTAAAGTGTCGTTTACTAAGACCTATTTCTTTTTAAGTCTCTAAAATAATATTAGTTGGGGAAACATTGCGAATAATTTCAGTACCTAAGGTCTGGTCTTTATTTTTCCCACTTTGTAGAAGTAAACTGCTTTGTTTATGCCAGAAGTATTTGAAATAGATCAATAGTCACTACGGCATTTATTAATGAACCACTGAAGATGACTTTTGTGACTTTTCTTCTCAAGTCTTCAGCACTCTTTGTGTCTTCAAATAAGAGAATGGTCACCCTGCATTTAGGAAATATGTCTAGCTGGTATGTTAACTGCTATTTATAGATAAACAGAATTCTACCTTTGGCCCCCGGTCTGTTTTGGATGCTATGTTCCTCAAAAACAAAGCACTAAAGTTGGTGAAGCTTCACCACAGTGGTACCCAGAACCTGCTCTTCCTAAGTCTGTTTCTGGCTTGGCTGGCTCTGGGTGATCAATCTTTCTGCTTCCTGGCAGGAGAAAGGCTCCTGGCTGTCACCCTGGTCTTCCCTCGTGGATGCTTCCTCCCCTAGCCATGGGCTGTAGAATCCAGATGGTAGCCACAGGAAACCTCTCTGTGCCAGTTATGCCACCCGTCCTATAGGTTTTCCTGTCTCAGAATCCTCCCCTCATTCTAAGGTTGTTGGTTGAACTCCAGGGAGGGTGAGATGATGAACGATTGGTTCAGGAATTATGCAGCCTCCTTTCTGCCTACAAATCAAACTATGCCCACCCAGATTCTCAATTCTTTGCCAGACGCTCCATCTTATGGTAAGAATTTTAAATGGGAAGACCTGTTCATTGGAAGATTGAAATGAGGAGTCTGGATAAATGGGGTGGGGGCAAAAGGTGAATAAATATTAGACAGTGTCTTTATTCTTTACATTGCACTTAAATCCACTCAGATTTCTGAGTCTATACCAGGAACACCATCTCCCCTGAAGAGCTTTCCCTTCCAGAGTGAGATAAGGTGCTCTGGGAAACCTTTGGGGCCACAGGGGAGGAACTGTGTGTATTTGAGTTTCAGGGAATTGAGTGGTTTTATATAAACACTGTATTTAAAACTGGCATTCTAATTAGTACATTTATTTTTCACAAGGTCATATGTTGACAGTTCTGAAAATGCATGTATGCTGATGTTGAAAAAAATAGTATATAAATTATATAAGATAGGAGTCAGAAGAAAAAGTACAAGTAATCAGGGGTTGAGGGCTAACAACCCTCTTACTGTCAGAAGAAAAAGTACAAGTAATCAGGGGTTGAGGGCTAACAGTGAACCCTCTGCTACTTGTCTGCACTTGGATATATCAGTATGAGCTTATTACTTTAAATATATATATATATATATATATATATATATATATATATATATAAATTTGCTGAGAGAAACATAGAAATAGTTATAAATAGGTATATCTAAATTGATTAGTATCTGTACATATATTTCCTAGTTCTGTCTACTAAGATGGCCTGGAAATAGTGACACCCTGGTAGTAATGACTATCCCAATTCCTAGACATGAGTTTCTCAATTCCATTGTCCAATTATCAAAAAAGGGGAGGAGAGCAGAACCAAAAAAATACAGAAAGGCAAAAATAGTGACTTTTAAGGTAGGGAAACCACCTTAACCAAGTGATCAGTAATGATGTCATATCAATGATAAGATGTAACGAGAAAGGCACTTCCCTTTTATGGTCTTCTTTCCCCAAATCTGTAGACCCATTCTAATAATGGAAATATAGCAGACAAATTCAAATTGATGGAGGGATGTTCTACAGAATACCTGACCAGTACTCTTCCAAACCACAAAGTCATATAAAACAAAGTAAAACAGAAGTTGTCACAGACCAGAGGAGAGTAAGGAACAGAACAACTAAGTGCTGTGGCATCCTGGATTGGAATTTGGTACAGGAAAAAAGAAAAGCTAAAGACATCCGAAAAGACTGTCATTTAGTTAATAGCATTGTAACCATGTTACTTTCTCAGTTTTGACAAATGTGTCATAGTTACATGAGATGTTATCATTAGGGAACACTAGGTAAAGGGTATTCAGAACTTCTATGTAATCACCTTGGCACTTTTATTGTAAATCTAAAATTACCACATGCTAGAAAAACATTTTAAAACATAAAAAATATTTTTTTCCCAATAGGCCAAATAAAGAGAAAATATACTGTTTCTGGAAGAAGTCTGAAAAAAAATTAAGTGGACAAATTTTGCTCAAAGGAAAATTTCAATCAATTCCTCAAAACATTCATTGTTCAGACTGTATTATAAAGTTACAAATCCTCTAAAATTCTGATTTGTGTGTCTGCCTCTTATAGTTTCATAGTATTTTTCATGGTTTTCTTTTTTGAAACATATTTTATTTTAGAGTAGTCACATTTATGAATATTTTTATTCATCCTTGCCTTTTGTATCCAGTCCTAGAAATGCTGTCCTTTGTGCTCGTATAAAAATTAAAAGTTTTGTTTTCTATTCACAGGCTGTTATTCTGTTGGGTTTTTTCTTTCATATCTGCAGAAGAGTCTTGACTCTGTGGGAATAAGGACTATTCTTTCTCCCTCATTCAATGATGACTGATTCAGCTAATCATCTAGGGAAGGTTCAGGACATGTCAAATCGATCGTGACTCTAGTTTTTCTAGATCTATCCTTTGGTCTATGCCCAGAGCTTTTGCTTTTTGTAGCATGAGGAGATGGAAGAAACTTTGGCATGAAAAAGAGTAATGTCAGGTATGCAGTTACCAAATGAATGAGAGACAAAAAGTGAATGAAGAATTCAGAGGATCCAGAGGATTTGTCAGTAGGGTGGCATTTGTTGGCCTTGGATTTACTTTGTAAATTTTGTTGATGTATAAACTACTTGCAGAAAGTAACCACAATTTTATTATTTAATTTATTTCAATAGTTTTTGGAGTACAGGTAGTTTTTGGTTATAGATATAATCTTTGGTGGTGATTTCTAAGATTTTAGTGCACCTGTCACCCGAGCTATATATGGGTGTACACTGTACCCATATATAGTCTCTTATCCCTCAGTCCCCTCCCAATCTTTCCTTCAAAGTCCCCAAAGTTCATTAGATCACTCTTATACCCTTGAGTTCTCATAATTCAGTCCCCAGTTATAAGTGAGAACATACAATAGTTGGTTTTTCATTCCTGAGTTACTTCATGTAGAATAATAACCTCCAGCTCCATCCAAGTTGCTACAAGAGACATTATTTCATTCCTTTTTATGGCTGAGTAGCCTTCCATAGTGTATATATACTACATTTTGTTTTCCATTTATTGGTTGACGGGCACTTAGAGTAACCAAATTTTAGCATACAACTCAATGACTGCTTACGAAATGAACCCCGTCTGTCAACATCACCCAGCTCATGCAAGAGAATATTAAAAACCTATGGTAAAGGCGTAAGTGAAGAGCTGGGAAGAGTTGTTGTAAGTGAAGAGTTTGGAGAAGTCGTTGTATTTGAGAGGTGGAGTGAAATTCTGTTCCACTCACACCGACCAGATGTAGAGGGAACACACGTGGAAAACAGGGACTCGTCTCCTCTCCATATACTATAGTCACATTCTGTTTGTTTCCACAAACAGTCTGTGACGTCAGGTTCAGGACAGATGCGCCAGCAGAGATAGCAGGGTAGAATCTAGAGGCAAAGCAGGGACAGGATGCCTTTGTTGGCATTCCCTTCCCATCTCCTGTTAACATGGCCCATTCTAGAAAGACAAGACCAGCAGGTGTCTGGGTACTGAGCGATGCTATCTAGGACAGTGAATGGGCAAGGAACAGGAAGGCCTGGGATAGAAAGAAGGCAGGAAAGCAGGGGCCTGTTAGAGGGCAGAGATAGCAAAAAGATCTGGGAACAGGGACAGGGAGCAAGAACCAGTGCCTAGGTATCACAAAAAACCAAACCAACATGCTGAGGAGTCCACTCACTTGACAGTTGCATCCTGCATCGTACACTGACTGGAAACCCAATTGCTGATGTATTGTAAGTTGATTCCAGAAATAAAACAGATGGCATTTTGTGAAGTACACTTTCCCCACGACCAGATAACCTGTGGCAAGCGGAGAGCATGGCCTGAGAGTCAGTGCAGCACGGAGGGTTGACCCTCAGGAAGGACGTGCTATGGCTCATAGGTAGTCAGCCCTAGAAAGTATGGAAACCCTAGGTGGATACGGTCAGCCATGACTGGCTGGTCTGGTGTTTCCCTAGGAAGAATCTGTTAGACCCTGGAAAAGGAGCCCTTCCTTGGTCCTTGGTGGTGCTGGAGTTGGAAAGGAAAATGGTGCTTTCAAGGGGAGGTATGAGGTGGAGGGGTTGTGGGGTAAATAGAAGTGCTCACCTGCAATAAGTAATTCTGACTGGTGAGAATTCACCACTGTGTAACCACAGTTCTCCACTCTGCGGGGTGTGTAGATATAATGGATTTCACGGGTCCCCTTGGGAGCCTTCAGCACCTGTGATGGGGAGGGAGAGTGGGTTAGGATTGTGTATTTTTACAGAAGTTCTTGGACTCCAGAAACCAACTGCCTCAGCAAGAGCAGATTGGAGAGATTTGTTTATTTATGGGGAAGGGGCTGAGAAGAAAAGTGTTATTGGATTTACCTTAGTGACGTTGACTTGGAAAGTTCGTCTAGCTCCAGAGATTTGTCCTGGTCCCAATATATCAACAATTATGACTTGAAGGAAGAAAGAATGGGTCAGGGGACATAGACTTAAGATTCCTTTATTCTAAAAGCTTAAGATTTCCTCATCCTACAAGCTCCCCCACCTCTGCAGTTCTACACCCCAGTGGTGAGACCTTCTCCTTGGTAGACTTCCCTGGTGTTTCCCTAGACTCACCCACATCCGTCAGGCAGTAAATACTCTGGGGGTGCAGTAATTTACAAACACAAGCATTACAAGGTGTTGATAGAGCCAAGAGCAAAGGAAAGGCCAGCAGGAATGTGGGGTCCATGGTGCATTCTAGGGGGACACAGGGCATACATTAAGACATGAACATTTTCTATCCCAGCTTCGTCCTTCCTCTCCCCACCCCACCAATACCTCACCACCTCCATGCAGTTCTAGACCAGAACTGGGCTGGTTCTGAGAACTCCTCTCCCTTTCTTAATGTCCAGGGACTTGGGAGTGATGGAGTGGTCTAGCTCCCTCAATCTTGTGCCCCACATTTGAAATGGCTCACCACTGCCAGTCTCAGCCAAGGTGTACCACCGCTTTGCAGAACACCCAGCTCCACAGAGGATATATAGTCGTTTGCAAGCCCTTTTCAACCCTGGGGCATGTCCTTTAGGGAGGAACACTGTGATGACCAGGCGTACTGGTTACCTGGAATGCTCATCTCTCATCTGCATTTTCTTTTCATCCTTCAAGCGTATCAACCCACAGGTACAATCTAATGACTGGGGGCACTTGCCACTTAGAATCCGTTTTCTCTGTATAGTTATACAAAAGGCACCAACTCTATTCATTCATGGACAGTGTTATGAGTTGAATTATGTCTTCCTTCACCTCCCACCCCAATCCGTGTGTTGAAGTCCTAGCCCCCCAGTACACCTCATAATGCTACTGTATCCTTAAAGAGATAAGTAAGGAGAAATGAGGTCATTATGATGGGTCCAAATCAAGATGACCGGGTCCTTTACAAAAAGAGGAGCTTGGCCGGGCGCGGTGGCTCAAGCCTGTAATCCCAGCACTTTGGGAGGCCGAGGCGGGTGGATCATGAGGTCAACAGATTGAGACCATCCTGGTCAACATGGTGAAACCCCGTCTCTACTAAAAGTTACAAAAAATTAGCTGGGCACGGTGGTGCGTGCCTGTAATCCCAGCTACTCAGGAGGCTGAGGCAGGAGAATTGCCTGAACCCAGGGGGCGGAGGTTGCGGTGAGCCGAGATTGCACCATTGCACTCCATCCTGGGTAACAAGAGCGAAACTCTGTCTCAAAAAAAAAAAAAAAAAAAAAAAAGAGGAGCTTTAGGACATAGACACACAGTGTGAAGACCATGTGAAGACAAAGGAGGAAGATAGCTAAGTATAAGCCAAGGAGAGAGCCCCTTCGAAGAAACCAACCCTACTGACATCTTGATCGCAGACCTCTAACCTTTAAAACTGAGAAAATGAATTTCTGCTGTATAAGCCACTTAGTCTATGGTCCTTTGTTATGACAGCTCTAAAAGACTAACAATTCCTTTGTTTCATTGAGAATATATATATCGTGTAGGGACTTAAGCAACTTAAACTTGCATGAGAAATTTGAGAAAAGTAAAACACCTCCAACACCAAATGTATAAAATCAGACTTATTCAGTCACCCAACTTCTCTTCCCTCTCCGTAAGTCTGTTCTCTGTCTCACACCTATAGACTTTTATTTATTATGTTATGATTATCCTCCCATTGCTCTTTTAATTTTAAACATCTATAAACATAGCCATGAAAACATGCATATCCTTTTTCTTTTTTTTTTTGAGAGAGTCTCGCTTTGCCGCCCACGGTGGACTGCAGTAGTGTGATCTTGGCTCACTGCATCCTCCTCCTTCCAGGTTCAAGGGATTCTCCTGCCTCAGCCTCTTGAGTAGGTGGGACTACAGGTGCCCACCAGCACATCTGGCTAATTTTTTGTTTTTAGTAGAGACGGGGTCTCGTTATATTGTTCAGGCTGGTCTCGAACTCTTGACCTTGTGATCTGCCCACCGTGGCCTCCCTAAGTGCTACAGGTGTGAGCCACTGCACCAGGCCGCATATCCTTTTTAGGTAAAATTGTAGCATACTCTATATAGCTTTTGTCTCCTCATGTTTTTAATTTTATAATTTATCCTAAGATGGTACCAGAGTAGTATATAAATTCCTCATTCTTTACACAGTTGTATAAAACTCCATGTTGAAGTACCTTATCCAACCAATTCCTAATTATCGGTACTTTGAATAATTTTCTGTTGTTTGCTCTTACAAATAGTACAGCAATGAATAGGTTTGTAAGTAGAGTTGTCTCTCGGTACTGAGGTTTGGTTCCAGGACTGCCCACTATACCGAAATCTGCATGTACTCAAGTCCCGCAGTGAGCTTTCAGAACCTGCCTCTATAAAAAGTCGGCCCTCTGTACATGCGGGTTTCACATCTTGCAAATATCGTATTTTTTATCTGCATTCAGATGAGGAGAACTGAGGTCATTATGGTGGGTCCAAAAAGATCAGCACGTAAGTGGAAGTGTGCAGTTCAAACTCATGCTGTCCAAGGGTCAACTGTATATCTTTTCTTATGTTTGAAAACACATCTTTGAAACTGATTCCTAGAAAAAGGGTTGAGTTCAAGGGCCAACTGCAGTTCTTTTCCGTGATTTGTTCATATCTCATGCACGTCTTTCTATAAGTTGATTAACTTTTCCTCTGATTTTAGAAATTGTATGTTAAACATACTCTTCATGGCATGATCGCAAATATTTTTCTCAGTTTGTCACATAACATTTGCTTTCCTTGAGTTAAAAAAATATGTATTTAATAGGATCTACTTAAGAATGTTTTGATTTACTGTCACTGGACTTTGACTCATAGTACAGAGTCCTCCTACTAATAGGGATTAGAGGATTTTACCCATAAATTTTTTCCTCATTTATGCCATTTCTTTTTTCAAATTTGGATCTTAACCCATTTGGAATGTATCTTGGTGTCATTATAAGACATGTGCCCAATTTTGTCTTTTTCCTAACTTATATACAAATAACCAAATATCACCGGTACAAAGATATCCTTTTCACACTTAATTAGGCGGTCATCCTTACCATGTCATAAATTTCCACATACATTTGAATTTATATCACGGTATTTTATTCTATTCAGTTTGTCTATATGTCCATTCCTCTACCAGTACTACACTACAGAGACTTCTAAAAATATTTTATTATGTCCTAGATATTTTGATATTGTTCTAGAGAAGACTCTCCTTTTTCCCCGCTTCCATCAGCTAGATGTTGCTGGCATGCATTGGCCCATGACCCCTGACATCTTTAGTATAGCCACCAATGGCTTGTCAAGTCTTTCTCACATCACATGATAGAACATGAACTCTTCTGCCTTCCTCCACATTTAAAAGATCTTTGTGATTACATTTGGTCAACCAAGATAATCTAGAATAATCTTGAGCTCTCTCTCTCTCTCTTTTTCTTTTTTTTGAGACAGAGTTTCGCTCTTGTTGCCCAGGCTGGAGTACAGTGGTGCAATCTTGGCTCACTGCAACCTCCACCTCCTGGCTTCCACTAATCCTCCTGCCTCGGCCTCCTGAGTAGCTGGAATTATAGATGCCTGGCACCACCTCTGGCTAATTTTTTGTATCTTTAGTGAAGATGAGGTTTCACCATGTTGGTCAGGCTGGTCTCAAACTCTCGACCTCAGGTGATGTGTGAGCCACCATGCCTGGCCCATAATAATCTCTTTAAATGGGCTGATTAGCAAGCTTAATTCCACTTGTCTTTTAGCATAACATATTCACAGTTTCTAAGGAAAAAGTCATCTCTGGAGGGCATTATTCTGTCCACCATGGGGTGGAATGTCATTCAGTGTATTAATTTACTTAGGCAACACTGAGCTATATATACTCCTATTCCAGGACATAGAAAATCAGAGCTCCACTAGATATACTCCATCCCTTTCACCCTTTGTGAGGTTCATTAAAATTCTACCTCCAGGCAAATGGAGTCACATTGCTGTGAAATGTGCAATTTGTGTGGAAAGTGCAAAAGGCAGCATGTTTAATCCCAGCTTGGGGAAGACCATTTGCCAATGAAATTCAAAGAGCTCATAAAACCAGGTGCTCGGCCGGGCACGGTGGCTCAAGCCTGTAATCCCAGCACTTTGGGAGGCCGAGGCGGGTGGATCACGAGGTCAAGAGATCGAGACCATCCTGGTCAACATGGTGAAACCCCGTCTGTACTGAAAATATAAAGAAATTTAGCTGGGCATGGTGGCGTGTGCCTGTAATTCCAGCTACTCGGGAGGCTGAGGCAGGAGAATTGCCTGAACCCAGGAAGCGGAGGTTGCGGTGAGCCGAGATCGCGCCGTTGCACTCCAGTCTGGGTAACAAGAGCGAAACTCCGTCTCAAAAAAACAAAACAAAACAAAACAAAACAAAACAAAAAACAACCAGGTGCTCAAGGTCAGATGACTCTAAGGCCCGGCTTATACACTAGTGCCCCCTGCAGTCCAAGCCAGAAAACTGCTAACGATGGTGTTTAGGCAGGAGATTGTCCACTGTCTTGCTCTCCTTTCTTCTCCTCCTTCTTCAATTGTCTTCCTCGTTCTATTTGGAACACATTCTTTATAAATAATGAGGGCCTGAGTCTTCATCTTAGAGCTTAAATCTGGAGAACCTCAGACATGCTTCATCTTTCCACTCATTCAAGTTTATATTTGTGCCTTTCAAGACTTCATAGTTCATGTGTTTTGAAACTTCCTATTGAATAACAATATTTTTATCGCTTTAAAAAGTGCATGCACATTTTATTTCTCAAGAAAGTTGAAGGCAAATTTAAAACAGCGTAATATTTTAACCTGAATTCATACATCCACTAAAAATGAGGATTACCGCCACCCTACCAGGGCCAAGAAGTTTCTCAATGATTCAGTAAGTTTACTTAATGCATTATTGACTTTTAGTATTTTTTGTCCCAGTGATGCCTTTGTGAGTGGTTTATTTTTATTTTTATTTATCTGGATCCCCATGATTCAATCAGGAATCACACATTTTATCTGGTTATCAAGTCTCTTTAGATTTCTTTGCAAAAAACCAGTTCCTTGGCTTTTCATTTTACTTCATGACTTCCACACATTTGAAAATTTCTCTCTGGGTTATTTTGTACAGTATTTCTTCAACTTCAGTTTGTGTGATATTCCCATGATTATAAATTCAGTTTGTGCAGTTTCCCCAAGAATATCAATAAAGCAAAATTGTATCTTCAAGTTGGTTCTCTCTTGATACATTTGTATCTATTTATCTATTTATATACTTATTTGGTGATTGTAAATGGGGAATTCTTTTCCATTACATATTCTATTTCTCTATATATGTTCGGCGCATTGTTTTTTTAGGTTAATTCTACAGTTTGCTATGTTACTAAATATTTTGGTTGGTTGCAGTGATATTTCAGTAGTTCTTTGTTCTCGTTTAAAATCATATTGTCTGTATTAGTTTATGGTATGGGGTGCAGCTTGCCACTTTCAGCCCCTTTTAGGTCTGGGACACTC